GCTTCCGAACGCGTCAACAATTGTAGTCCCGAAAGTGTAGTGCATGTTTTATTACATATTTTGTGTGTGTGTGTGTTATGGGTGATTGATTATTTAGTATTTCCGGATGCATTAACGGCGTTGAACGTTAGTCCCGCAAGTGTAATACATGTTTTACCACGGGATGTCTCTGTGTACTTCATTCCGGATCATCGAACTTAGATCACATCAGAGAACTCGATCAGGAGGCTCCTCATTAACCGGAGGAGGAATTGTGGGAGGTTGTTTGATTATTTAGATTTAACATTAGTTATGAAAGTGAAGTGTATGTTTTACAACGGGATATGTGGGTGTGCGCGTTCTTCTCCCATTGGATGGTATTATCCGGATTACACGTCGGGTTCTGGGAGATTTCCCCATTAAGGTATCTCATCAGCGCGACACCGCCCTAGTCGGAACAAGCTCTTAAGCTCCGGACAGGTCTCCTTACAAGTGTAGTAGGTTAGTGCATGTGTGTGTGTGTGTATGTATGTAAGGGGTGAGGATACAAGGGACAGGAAGGCGAGATTGCACAGGGTCCATGGCCCGTTTGTTAGGGAACTACTTCATTCGCCTGGTGTTGATCGAAGAAACCACGGAAAACTACCGATCAGAGCAGACGGCCGCTAGAATTCGGCACAAGCTCTTAAGATCCGAACAGGTCTCCTTACAAGTGCGGTAGTGTAGTGCGCGAGTGTGTGTGTGTGTAACGGATGATACAGGGGAGAGGAAGGGTACTGCTCCGGCATTCGCTGGAATTGATAGGAGAAACCACGGAAAACTACCGATCAGAGCAGACGGTCGCTACCATTCTCCTCCATTCAGCGGTTGAATTCGACCTAGCCACGAAGCTAGTATAGCATCGCAAGATTTCACGGCCGGCGTCAACAGAAGATAAATTTTTCGAGCTGGTAGACCGTGGGCAATGCCAACTGGACCACGGCCTACCAGCCCGGAAAAATTATCTTCCACTTAGCTAGTGTCAAAAATTCGTCACCGTCGGAAGTCGAACCCTAGGACCTCCCAATTAGAGGTACTGCAATGACGTCTGACATCAGTTGATGCCCTAAGACAGCTCAGCCGGCCACGGGAAAATTCGGTTAGGAAGGAGGATTTCCATTATTTCACTAGCGGCGATACTGGGGAAGGTCGTTTTACTTTGTCTACAGCAACGAAGATATGTAGCGCTGATAAAATAAATAAAAAAAAACATGAGATTTTGACGGAAATACACCTTTTGTCCTTGGGATAATTGTTCGTCAAATACGGTAGAATTTTTAAATTTTGTTTCTGCTGCAATAGATCGAAGTACATATACAAAAATGATCCAAATCCGAAAATCACTATAAGCTCTGAAATTTCGTACAGTGCAAAAGCAAAATCTTGTTAGCTTCCCTATTACAACATTACTGAAAATATATATTATATTCTTAATAAAATGTATTCTTCAAAATTGCATCAGAAAATGTCCTGAACCATTTTTACAATACAAACGGTTTTATTGTAATTATGAGTGACAATTTAAAAAATATATATAATTACTCAAAAACGATTTCAACTTGTTTAATAAATTTTGTTCAGATAGAGCACAATCTACTAAACAACATAACAGCGACTTTCTGATCTTCACTTTTGATTTTTTTTTTAATTTAATTTTAACTGTGGCTACTACTGGTACTTTTACCATACACATGGTATATATGCTCAACGGAACTAATCTATTATTTTAAATGGTGTTACTCAGAATTCGCAACTAATTAACATAATTAGATAACATATAAACAGGAAAAACAATGAAATAAGATTTGACTCCCTGATTTGAACTCTTAAGAACATGTATATAAATTATATTTCACATGGCTATAGTGAATAAACGTATCTTATTCAGTGGTGAAACATTTTAAACCGAAACGTTCTTGAATGCTAGATTTCACTTGTGAATAAAATACACTTTCACACTGTTATATTCATTATCACTATGGACACGAAAGCGAGAAATCTGAAGTGAAATATCTGCATTCATCTATGTCGTTACATCCACCCAAGTTGGTGAGACAAACGCATGATTCCACACTCCATCGTATAGACATCGAAATTATTTTTCGGGTTGGGCAAAAAATTCCCTCGTAGTCGCAAAGCATCCTTGGGTCATAACAAACAAATTATAAACAAATGCCTACCGTGAACCAGTCTGCTAGCTGCCGTGGGAGATATCCGGATGTTGGGTTGAGTTGCAAACGGTGACTAGACGGCACTGAACAGAGCCACAGACGTGTCGCGATTGAAAAAAATTGTCCAACGACAACTGTTCGACTGAATCGTGAAATCGAAAGCTTTTGACGTCACTAGGGACTTTAGCACAGCGTGTCATACAGCAAATCTCTCGACCAATAGCGGGAGAAGTCGAGAAAGAAACGACTTCACCACAGCGAAGCGTACACCAATCGACAGTAAAAATCTCGACCAATAGCGGGTGAAGTCGAGAAATTATTTTGAACAAGTTGAGAGTCGAAATGGAAGAAGTTCCGAACTGTGGCGACAGAATGCGTTATATTCCAAAATATCTCTTGATTCGCATTTGTTCGACTAGTGCAGTTCATCAACTTCGAACCTGCGTGTGTATATATGTATGTAGGCTTATAGGTATTAAATAAATATAACTTATTATTGATATGGATGAATATTATAGATAAAGACGTCAATCTGATCACGAGCGTTACGAACTACCTGACCACAGCACGGTTTGAAAAGCCACCAGACCCCGGCCGCAATTGTGCATGGAGAGTGAGAAGTGTTGAGAAACATTTCGAAAGTGGCCTAAAGTGACAATTTTCAACGGTGAGCAACGGTAACATGATCAAAGTGTACAAGACGTAATATTTAAAATAAATGCTTCTTATATCTGTTACAATGACTTAAGGTGATAATTTAGTATCTGTTTGCATTTATAATTTCCGCTAATATTGTGACGCAAGTGGTGCCTGAAGCTCATTGGCTGAAGTCTTATACGATGCGCGTATAGTTAACAGCACGCTGTCGCCAGAGTTGGGGACAAATTCGATTCTGCATGACCGAATCGTTTAGCCAGGGCCGGATTTACCTACAAGCAAAACAAGCAGTTGCTTGGGGGCCCCCATTCTGCAGTGAAGAGCAGAAAAAAATTATGTAAAATGTATTTAATTTTTAAAAAATGTAACACAAGTAAAAATTTGTATAAAAATGATCAGTTTTCATTTGTATCTGTACAGAGAGTACTTGTACTATAATACATTTTTTATTTAAAAGATGGAGCTATTTTTTCGGGGAGGGGGCCCGATACAATTTTGTGCTTGGGGCCCCGAACTTCTTAAATCCGGTCCTGCGTTTAGCATGAGATGTAAATGTCTTAAAGTTACCCTGAGCAAAAAGGTTCGTAACTTAAAGAGGAATGAGACTCTAAAAGATGCAATGAACTTTGGCGCTATCTACCCCCTTGTCTTTCGAAATGTGCGAATGGTGTGATGTAGGACGAAGGTTAGGATGAATTTATGAGAGTGACCCGAATTTCGTAAAGAATTACAGATGAAAGGTCGTATCAAATCGTCATACTGCCGATCTGGTGGCCGAGATCGCTAAGGCAGTAGTGCCGTAGCGATCTCGAACCGAAGGATGGCGGGTTCGAGTCCCGCCTCGGGCATGGTTGTATTATGTTCATCTTTTCACCCTTATTATATACTGTCATCTTCACAGTTACTACACCGTTTCAAGCAATAGTGGTTGCTAATGATCTAGAAGTTTATGTGACCTTAAATAACCAATTAATAATAAATAAATAATAATAATCGCCGATCAGATGGTCGAGATCGCTAAGGCAGTAGTGCTGTAGCGATCTTGTGACCCAAGGATTGCGGGTTCGAGTCCCGCCTCGGTCATGAATGTATTATGTTCGTCCTTTCACACCCCCTATCATCATCATCATATCGTGTCATCCTCGCAGTTACCATACCGTTACAAGCAACAGTGGTCGCTAATGACCTAGAGGGTGATGCGACCTTCAATAACAAAACATCGTCATACTGATTATTCGAGCTATTGCACTGTGCTGGAAGGCCCGAACAGTGAACAAATATCCGCTCCCACCCCCTTTCTATCCTCAAGGAGAAGGTTGCTTCACTGTGGCTGTGAAGGTCACGGGAAATCGTCATTAAATAACCGCTTGTGTTGTCATCGTCAAATCAATGGAGACACGAGATAAAACGTCTGGTTTCTCAAGCATTACGCGAGGAAAATCGTGGATGGCTTAAGTACGTTCAATGTACACACGTGATAACGCATGAACAACGATTATTGCAAGAAATGACAGCTGAAACTCCAACCCTTGATCGTTTTCGCAAAATGTTACGTAAACAATATTTGAGGGCGATGTTGCCATCAGAATTATTTTGTGTTGTAACATTTCCTTTGAATGTACTGTATTCGAATCTATTTAGTTTAATAGAACTTTGCTGTTCACGACTTTCAAAAATTTCTTGAAAGAAAATAAATTTCATGTCTTAACAGACAAAATATTAAAATTACTTCACGTTTGAATGTTATTACCCATATTTACAAAGAATCGAACACATTTTTCTCACTTAACATCCTTTGAAGAGTGATTTTTGCACCCAATGAAGACAACCGTCATAATGTAGGTATTTTACTGTCTATTCTTCAGATGAGTGCAAAAATCTTCATCCCTCTTCGTGTTGCTTAAGCTGGACTTTAGATTTATTGAAAAAGTGTGAAAATACACCAACTGACACGTAGAAAATCTAAGGGGCGTATCTATGAAATCAAAATTGTAATTATTACTTGAAAAAGTTATTTAAAATAAACTCTCCCCTGGGGGTCATAAAATAATCCAAATGTAATTCAAGGATAAACTACATGTTATGTTGAGAAACAGGTGATGAAATTAAAATAGCACGCCACCGTCTATTCGCAATAACTTCAACTGCAATAACGTAAAAATTCTGGTGGTTCTGGAGGAGAAAACTGCAAAAAACAAAAAAGCAAAACAGAAACAAATTGATCCAAGGATTAAAGTGCACAAGGAAACTGTACAGTTGGGAACGAAAATTAAAAATTGTATTAGGAAACTCCAATGAACATAAACATAAAATTTCATTGTGACACAAGAAGTTGAACTTCAAGGTAAACTAGTGGTGCTCCAACAACACAGTTTCTCGTCCTTAGTAAAGGTGACTTAATTTTATTATATTGCAATTTCTGTCCGAAATGTCACAGTTCAGTCACCACTTATAAAACTCATTACAAATCGTAGACCTTTAGGGGCGAAACAAATCCGAGAACTGAAACTACATTTCTAACATCTATGACATCTTCCAACATTAATAAGAAATTCTCAGAATATGCAACTGAAGTGTCGCGACGCATCATGTCACAGTCGCATTCCAAGGTGATATTTCCTGAAGGCTAGTAAATGGAGAGAGGGAAATTCCAATGTGCAAATTCGAAAACTTTAAAAATTACGCTAAAATATGAATATTTTAAAAAACTGTACAAGCTTTTTTTACGGAAGTGATTTTTTTAGCTTTCTCCCAGCTCTTTCAAAGCACTATAGACCGATGTGGACCACGGCTGCATTGGCCAGAATGGACAAGTATGAGGTGCGGGGAGAGAAAGAGGGTTGATTCATTGACTAGCGAGACCGGGCGTACCAACTGCTAAGGTCATTAGTTGAGTAAGTGTAGTGCATATTTTTAAAACTGTACAAGCTTTTTTTTACGGAAGTGATTTTTTTAGCTTTCTTCCAGCTCTTCCAAAACACTATAGACCGACGTGGACCAGGGCTGGATTGACCAGAATGGACAAGTATGAGGTGCGGGGAGAGAAAGAGGGTTGATTCATTGACTAGGCGAAACAACTGCTATGATCATTGGTTCCGTAAGTGTAGTGCATATTTTTATCCCTGGAGATGGTAGTAATCTTCCTTAGCTTGATGGCGAGATCCAACGCCTATCTACACGTTGATTTGCGATTTCCTTAACCAGGTACCTCCCACCAGCGAGGCACCGCTCCAGCCAGGCCAAGCTCTAAGCTCCCGACCAGTCTTTCAGGATGTACAGTAGTTTAGTGAATGTTAGTGAGTGTGTTGGGGGGGGGTGAGGAAAGGAGAAGGACGAGGAAGGAAATATCGCGTGCAGTCCGTGATTCCTTTGTTAGTGTACTGCTCCGGCATTCGCATGGTATTGATCGGGGACTGTACGAAAAACTAGCGATCAGAGCATTAATTCTCTTCCAGTCAGAGACCGAATACTACCTATACTAGGATTTACTTAACAGAGCACTTTACGTAAATCACCTGTTCGCAGATTCATCTAATCGGGAGCTTGAACGTCCCCATAGTGACTTCACTGTAGCGACATATAAGCTTCCGATTGGATAAAACAGCAACAGATGATTTACGTCAAGTGACTAAATAAATCATGCAATAACTATGAAGTTAGTGTCAAAAATCCTGCCACCGTCTGGACAGTGACATCAATTGACCCGATCGGAAAAAGGGGGGGGGGGCGTTGCGCGTCCCGCTCCTAGGTTGTTATCTTCGGTGGAGGCTGAAGTCCCATTTCTACCCCCACTCCCACCGCCACCGCTAAACTCTGCGTCCCTCCCGGTGGTGCGAATATAGTGGGGGCTGTGGCGACCGACGTGCCAGGCGGCCGCGACGGCTTCGGCGTCAGGTTACTACCAGCCTACCAGGGATGACCAGTCTTTCGGCTTTCCCGTCAGGCTTCAAATTCTGCTCTGCCTTCGTTTTCGTGCAGTTGTTTTTTTCTGCAAATTTGAAATATTATTGCGATTGCGTGGCGAGCACTTTCAGGATCATAAGCGCACAGAAAGCATGGCCGGCTTGTGGCAATTCGCCTTACTTCAAAGTTTCTGCTACCTTTGTTTTCCATGTAGTTCGCTTTTAATATTTGAAATGTGATTACTATTGCACACACAAACAAACAAACAGAAACGCATTCTATTATATCACCCGAGATGGCCAAGCGTTTGGCAGTCAAAATTCGCAACTATGTTCTATAATTTATAACGAAACCATGTACTGTCGCACGTTTGGAGTAATCCCCTTTTTTAATATGTATCCTTTTTGTTATGCCGACATACATCATTTGGAGAACAGCACACCGACTCAAAATAATGATGGAAATACGCACTTATTGCGCATTTAGACACCTCTGCACTTATCGTGCGACTTTTACAAAGGCGGGTTATCCTCACTACGAGGTAGTAGTTCAGACGTAAGTCTGAACTTCGAATTAACACGACGAATACAGAAAGTTCCACATTTTTGAGTCGCCTGCACATTTACCTTTCTATCGCGGAATCTAAAGTAAAGTGATATATGGCAAGAATTAAGTTTACAAAGCATGTCTCCTTTTTCTAGTACAAAATGCATGAAGATAGTTCACGAGCCAGCAAGTATACATAGTAAAACACGTTACTTGAAAACAAGAACTGGTCTGTTGTAGACAGAACCTTCCTCCTTCAACACAATTTTGATGATGCACCTCCCTTCTTGTGTCCCAAATATAATATACAAAAACACTTCGCTATTCATCTCCGTATATCCGCCCCATACTTTCCCGTGCTTTCCCAGTTTAGGCTGCCGCAGCGAAAACAAACTTAAACAAAATGAAAATTTTCCAAAATGGATTCCGTCTCGCCACCATAAAGGTTCTCTGGTACATTCCAAATGTACAATTACATAATCAACTTGGCATAATACTCATTCCCGTTTACTTTTCTCTCCTATCCATAAAATTATATTCCAATACAGTACAGATTCCTTCAGAAATTCACTTTCACATAGGTGAAGAAACAATCCTCACCGCAAAAGGTTACCCAGAGAATTTTTCCGATCCCCCCCATAGACATGAATCCATGAGTCTTCTGATTATAAACTACGTATCCCCTATATTATACTATATTTAAAACTATAATTCTATATATTATGTATCAAATGACCTCTTGTAAATATTTCGTAACAATGTATTTATCTTATGCGGCTTCATAAGCCCTTCAGCCAAGCTTCATTAAACAAAATAAAAATAAAGAAGGAATCTTCACAACGGAACGGTGTCAAGGTTTTTGACATATCCTGTACTATCTCCTTTGCAATAAGTATTACACAAATATTGCCTCGAGTTATCGTTCGTGTGCTACCCAAAAGAAGGAAAAGTAGTCACTAGAACGTAATACGCAGGTCGTTTTTGGCGTATTGGTTATTACGTTTGACTTCCGCCAAGCATCACAAATTACAGAAGGGAATACGTTGGTAAACCCACTATCACATACAGGGTAGATAACCTCATTTCTGAACAACTTTTCGAATGGCGTTCTAAAACGATATCGACAGAACACATCTCACTGAATTTAGTTTTCACCCATTTCAATACTGCGAGCAGGAAACCGTGTAGTTTAATTAAAAATAAGAGATGAAACTGGTATTTGAACAGTGACAAATTTGGCCAATAGTTATATGACTAGGGGGTGGATTTTAATGAAATGTCATTGTTTTTTCTTTTCACTTTAGAACAATGCCGTTTTGCATTGAAATTAGTTTTCTGTTATAACGAAACGAAATGACCCACTTTAATGTCATTTGTTTGCATTTTTAGTCGATTTTGACTATTAGTAATTTTTTACCTCTTTACGTAATTTTTACTGCATTTTCACTGATTTCATCGATTTTAATATCATTTTAAATGGTACTTGCTTCAAACAATATTTATGAGGTGGAACAAATTTTCAATACAGAATTTCCGAGCCGCCTATTCATTTCTACGCTCATAGGTTGTAATGTCAGGCGTTACGAGTACTGTGTAATCTACGGTTCCTATGACGCCTATCGGCGCCATTATCAGTTAATGATCAGCTATTTCGCGCGAAATAAAAGATTTTCTTTAAAAGAACAGTACAAACCCAAAGTTTGCAAGATGAGTTCACTCTAAGAAAAAGAAAAAAGCCTCGATTTCATCAGTAACATATGCAACAGCTTGAGTTGTTTATCTGAAGTGGGTTTGATCAAACTGCTCACACATTTGTTTGTTTTGGAGGCATTTTTACAGCATTTTATTAATTACAGGCAATGTCTAAGGTCATCAAAATAGTTATGACGCTTCGACAAAGGGCGTGATGCTGACGTTGCGATCCTCTTAACGGGCATAGAAGACTGCAGTTTTTGAAGTTCTGAGAAAGGCGTTGTTTCCCCCAGAGCCTTGTCCTTTATTAGCGCCCTTAGCCTGAACACTGAGCACAAAAAACTCCCAAGCTGACCTAAAACGCTGGTGTATCTACAGCAGAACACAAGCCCGGTATATTTTTTCGAGGTCTGCTGACGATCGTGTACGCTCTTTCCCTTTATAGAGGCCCTTAGCAAAAACCATCCACACTCGCCTTACACTTGTCACCAATGAAAATCCCTAACGCTGACCTAAACGTGTATATCTACAGCAGGAAAACAAGCCGTACATTTTTCGAGAAGGCCGCTGACCGGTCGTTGTTTGCTCTTGTCCTTATTAGCGTCTGTCCCCGCTGCGCCGGGTCTATCGCAGGAGGCTTAGAATGAAAGAGCTTATCTCTTTGACACTAATCCCCTTATCGGCAGCTGGGGGGCTATCGACTGTCGCTAAAGACCTCACACAGCGGTTTGCTTGTTGGCCTGTCATCGAGCTTCACGCGCTCCTCGATTGGAGGCGAGATCAAAGACTGACGGATCGAAACGCTACTCAACCTCGCGGCTGGCCCAAAAACGTTATCTATTTTCAGTCATCGCGCAATATTTACGTCAGTTTTCGGGTCTCTCGATGTGTAAGAGGAATAAAACGAATGTATGTGCTGCAATATGTAGTGGAGAGTAATGAAAGCAATCGTGCAAAAAATTAATTCAGATTTTCACATGAAAACAGACAGTAAGGGAGCGAGAGTGGTGAGGGCACAGGGTCCAAGGCGAGGCGAGGCGAGGCGAGGCGAGACGACTATAGTGGCGAGGTGGGATGTTGGAGTAGAGAGAGATTACTATAAGAAGGGACCGTTTTGGCAGTTTCTGTTTGGCCACTAGTGCGACATTAATGCTACCTATACAAATATTGCAAACTCCAAGCAATCTACAACCTTTCCTGAGATCAATAACTAACGCCCCATGGTTCATTTCCAATGATGAACTTAACAAGGAATTCAACATTGTGTCATTAGGTCATTACATTACAATCCATAAAACAAACTTATCATAAACATGAAATTTCGGTAATCAACTAATTCGGACTCACAAAACAATACGTAGAACCAGAATTCAAAATAAATATCCATTCCATGCATTCCAAATCAAATTCGAAAGAATAGAACATGATTAGAGGACCCGTAGTTGGAAACCACCCAATGTATAGTATGTACGTTTAAAATAAGTGTTAGTGAGTAAGTAATAAAAATTGCATAGTTAAGTTGAAAGAACTATTCATTTACCTTAAAAAAACTGAGTTAAAAGAAACATCTGCACTATAATTGCAGGTTATGTCCACGTCCATTTTGTTTAGTGTATTCGTTTACAGATAGCTCATTTGTGCTGACTTCATCACCATCTCTTGCATTTTCACGCCCTGCACGACATTCATTTGTTTCCCGTCCTGTTAAATTGGTTCCTTCTAAAAGGAACTCCTCTGTACATAATGGGAGAAAGGTCATTTCCAAGCAGGGGAGAGTTGGGTTGGTCGGTTGAAACGGAGCGGGTCTCAAATGTGCGGATGCGCTAGGGTAGTGGGGTGGGGGAGGGGGAAGGCAGCGGGCGCGGGAACGCGGATAGCGTCGGTTCAGCCAGTCGTATCGATCAGCGGCGGTGCGGGCTCTGGAGGTGGAGAGATGAGCGGAGCGAGTGGGGCGAAGCCAAGGCAAACCTGGTCGTAGTTGGTGGGGCGCTCGAGTCAGGCGGAGTTAGGTTGGTGAAATGTGGAGGTGTGGGCGTGGGCGGCGGAGGAAACGCAGGGTGGGCGGGGGAGGAGCGAATTGGGGCGGGGGTTGAATTGATTCGGTGTGACGGCGGGAGAGCGAGGCCAGGCGGAGCGGGGCTGGCGAGGGCGGGCGCCGGTGATAAGCCGGGGCGTGGAGGAAGCAGGCGCCGGAGGTGCTTGTGGCGCGGGCTGGTCGGACGCTGTGCGCAGGGCCGGGCGGGGCCGGCTGTGCGCCGGGCGGGCGGTGAGGTGAGGTAGCAGGTCGGCGGGTGCTGTGGCGGGGCGGCGCGGGCGCCGGGGCGGCGCCGGTGAGGTGCAGGTGAGGTGCAGGTGAGTGTGAGGTAGCAGCGTTCTGGCGCGCTGTTGGCGCGCGGCCAGCGGCAGCGGAGGGTGAGGTGAGGTAGCAGGTCTGGCGCGTGCTGTGGCGCGTGCTGTGGCGGGGCGGGCGCGGGCGCGGGCGGGGCGGGGCTAGGGGCGCGGCGAGGCGCGCGGGCGGGAGGGCGGGCAGGGGCGGCGGAGGGGAGGGGAGGCTGAGGAAGCAGCGCCTGGGCGCGTGAGGAGCGGGCGCGGTCAACGGACGCTGCTTGGTGGGGCTGCGAGGGCTTGGAGGGTGGCAAGCCGCCGATCGATGCCCGCCCTGCCCGGCGGCGGCCCGGCTGCGGCCAGCGAAACCACGGCACGGGGCCAAGCCAGCCTGCCCCGCCCTCGCGGCGCCTGCTGCAGCGCAGAGCCCTGCCGTTAAAGGGCTGCCTCGACGCCCTTCTCCTTGAACAGCCCCGATGCAAACGATCAGAAAACTTCAAACGCCATTCAATTAACCTTCCAGTTTCGAATACTTTTTTTTCTAATTCTGATTGAACTAATTATTTCGGTTTCGGTTTTGACAAATTTTTAAAAGAGTTTCCTTAATCTTTTTCATAGTAAATACTGAATTACACTGATTCATTCTGGGAATACCAGGGATTTTGGAGAATTGTTTTGAGAATCATCAGCATGGATCGGCAAAAAATCATCAGTTCCCCACGACGAGATCGAGACGCTTCGAATGACATGTCATTTGTCTCGATTCCTGGCCTGCAAGAGGTCGAACCACAGTATATGTATTTATACAGTAGCTCCGTCTTAAACTCCCTATGCCGACGTGTTGGTCAGCGTCTCTAGCGATCTGCGCTGCGCAAACGGAATGCTATACCGCCTTACAATTCGTAATACAGCATCGGGTTGCTAAATCTAAGCAAAGGTGAATGTGTTTATATGTATTTTAATTTGTTTATGCCTATAACTAAAACGTGTGAAGTATAAGTTTTGAACAATTTTTAAGGAAATAAATTATTTAAATCTAAAACATGTCGACCATTGAAAGTGAATAGTGGAATAAAGAGGAAGAAGTATTTCTGTAATGATAATGAAAATAGCTAGAAATGGAAGTAATATAAGTAGTGAACAAGGATACCTAGGAGATTACATTTCTTTAAGGAGGTAATAACTCGTTTCCGTCTTTCATTTCTAGGTATATTAGTCAAGTAAAAAACAACATAACTTAGGGTTCTTTCCTTCAGTATTGCGGCATTTAATTTCACAACAGTCCCCTCTTTCGGCACACGCAATGTTATTAATGTGTTAGCAGGAAAAGTTTAAGAATTCAGTTGGTGGATATCAAATATGTTACGATACATGTCAAATGTAAGGTTAAAACGTTGGTTCGATGTAATTTTACCTATTACTCGAATTTAATGACTTTCCCTTGAAATCCTAGGAATATAATACGAGGTCAAGAAATAATACGAATCGTTTAAGTTTGTATATAAGTTTAATGTATATAATAAGTGTTAATATAAGTTAATGTATATAAGTTTTTTAACCAATGCTCTTAATAAACGAAATTTCACATTGAAAACTATATACTTCAGTAGCATCTTTCAATATTTTCACTTGACCTCGGCCAGGATCGCTAGCTGTATGCGCACGTACTCTTAACTTGCCAAAAAATGTGCAGAGCTGCGCTACTGTATAAATTACGTATACTGTGCTGCAACCATGAGTGACAGAAGAATGGGCCGATGCATGTAGCTCCATTACTGTAAAATGATGTGGCTCTTTACTTTCAAACACACAAGAGAGACTATCAGTATTTAAATTTAATGCTATTTGTATTCATTATGTTGGGGAGAACCATAATTTCATTCACTAAGAAATTAGCAATAAATTGTTTTAATTTGCAAACAATGACGATTCATTATCTCTGCGCTATAATAGTTCTCGTAAATTACAATAATTTAGACCTATGCGTAAATAGTAATAATAACAATATGTATTTAGACGTGGAATAAAGTTGTTTTCTCACTTATAATGCATCAGTGAATCAATGGCCATATGAAATATATCTCACAAACATTTGTTCTTTTTCGGCCATGCTTAAGACAGTTTGTCGACCCCGATTTTCTACCTCGTCAGAGCCAAATAGCATGTTGGTTGCCGGGACAACGCCGCAAAACACAGCGAACCAGACAAAGTGCTGTCGAAACGTAATGTTGGCATGCTCAACTAGTCGGGAACAGACGGCCGAGCCACGGCAGAGCATTATGTAGTCTATGTGTACAAATGGGTGAGCGAACTACGAGACGCCATTTCTAATTCAAATTTTACGCGAAGAAAAGCTACGACGAGGTCGGCATTTGTCACAATCCTTTCGAAACGGATTTTCTGAGTAAGCTGACAAGTTTTTCTCGGCTTATTACGTTTTTATTAGATTATAAACACCGATAGTCACATAAAACGTTTTTTATATCCAAATTAAACTTGTGATGCTAAGATAGCTTTTACTTTGTCGCCCATACCTACACGCAACATTACGCGAAAAGTACTAAATTTTTTCGAAAAATTTGTGCACGACCTTATTTAAAAATCTTTAAGAAACGTATTTCATTCAAAGGAAGGAATCTCTATCTTTGTAATTTTAGATAAGATGCCAAAATTTTTTTTTAATTTTTAATTTTCGAAAAATCAGTTTTTTAACGAAAATGAGACCCGCACCATTCTGTTAAATGCTCTTCACTGTCCAACATCCTACATCCAACAACAAAATTTAACAAAAAACGATGGAGCTAATTTTTTTAAATTTTGAAAATATCCCAGGTGTTTCATATAAAGTACCTCCGAAAATTAAAAAAAAAGTTTCAAATTCAAGGGGCCGCGAGATCAGCCAGATCGATTGCGGAATATCAATTTTGGAGAAAATCGGCTGTGCGGTTTAGCCACTAGCGTTGTACGAACGCACGGTAGAGAATTTTTCGGTATCAAGAACCCAAAAAACAGGATACCCGCTACAGTACGTGTTAGAGGATTTTTTCTATATTCAGCAACTGGATTTATCCACTTTTTCGTTACCAGGACCCGGCAGTAAGAGTTTTTCTGCCGAAAATTCGCCGCTTTTTTCGTGCAGCATTACATTACTTTCTACTGCGTAAGCGATAGCAAGACATTTTATGAACCACCTAATCAACGAACGAGACAAGCGGCACATAGGAGTGTACCAGAAGCTACGAGCGAGATTCACGCTACACGTCTCTCCAATTCGTGGACAAGATGGACAGATTTCTCACCCATCTCTAGTAAATATTCCAACAATAAAAGAGTATGCGATTGCCGGGAGTTTCAGCTGGGGAAGAACCACGATTCAATTAACAATATTTTGAAAATATCGACACGTGGAAATACATTTTGAGTTCAAAATCACACACAAATTTTGAATTAAAGGGCGCGATATACCGTATCATGTACGTGAAAAAAAGTGAAGTGAGTGGTACATCCGCGGTTTACAAAAATTGACAGACACACAGGTTCGTTTACCACTTACGGTTAAACAGCGACTCGGTGTGCAATGAAATTAATGAGTGTGCCAAGTCAGTTCATTTATATATTTTTTGCCTTGGAACGCATTTCATACGAAGATCACTGTTACGAAATCGTAATTTTCTTTACTGATGCTTTACAATATATCGGAACAGATTTTCGACGATATTACTAAATGAAACAAAACACAATGTTCGACCACAACAATTGTAGCTATCTCTCCCCTCTCCCCAAAACAAACACAGCAAAATTGAAATGACTCGGGCAAGGAGAAACGCGCACAAACAAAACGCGGAGAAGTGTAGCAGGCCTTGGCGTGAAGGAACGACGCCCAGCGCTGTTAGCACACGAATCGTACTTCAGAAGGCCGCGTCACCAGCTCGGTTTACATCCACCGGAAATATGGCGGTCAACACGACCTTTGATGAAGGTCGTCCCAGGTCATTTTCTAGACCAGGGGTCGATAGCATTAAAGCGATGAACTCTTGACAATCACTTAAAAGAAATAGCAGATGCATTTTTAATTTTATGTAAATTTGCGTTTCAAGACCACTAACTTATTATTAAGTGGTTTCTTACAGGTTTTTTTTCGTTTCACGTACGTTGCAGAAGCATGTTGTGCGCCAATATCATTTCACAAATATACAATAATGTAAACTTTGTTTCAAATTTTTATTTAATTCGCACGCGCGTTAAACATTCGTATCTCCATGGCAACTACCAGCTATTTATGCAGCTTCGTTGATCGGGAAAACCTACGGTTTGAGACCCGACAGTGACGGTTTTTCGTTAACCAAATCCACAATTTTAAAAAAAAATGTCTTCACATTTCAAAACAATTTCTATTCAGATACAATCCCATTCAAACCGTTTACTGTATTCACTCTCCAAAATATTTTCGGCCATTCACTTTTTCACAGCGGTATCTCTAATACTCCACCAATAAAACATTACGTCTTCACTTCAAATGCTCCACTCAATTGCGCAACGGATTATAGCGTTCTATTCCATCGCTACATCAAAAACGCTTGGCCGAACTTTATATCTTCACTCACGAACGTTCAATTCTTTTCTGACTGTTTATTCGCACTAGTTCTCAGGTCGACAGTCTCCATAACATCGAAGTCAACTAGTGATTTCAGATTCCAGAAGACGTCTACATATATTCCTGTCTTGGAGTCAAATATGGTCGAAATACACAAATACGACTTACAATTCATAGATCTATCAAGAGCCAAGAAGTAAATTTGTAAGAAAAAAAGTGTAGCATGTAATGCTAGGTCTAATAGGATCAGGAAGTTCAATGAGAAGGAGCTTACCTCGAGGAAAATTAAATTATATTGAGTTGGGGACTCCTAGTGTCTAGGAACTCACCTGTGAACAAAGCAAAATGTCAAGTTATTAGCAAGCGAGCAATTACAATGGGCATTTTACCAACAATATTTAATAAATATTTGACTCTTTTACATAGGGCGTATTTTTTAAATTCTGTACATTCATTATATTTTACTGAAAAATATAAATTACAATATCGAACCGCTAGTTCAACTTTTATTACGTGCCTGGTGGAATATTACAAACACAATGAGAATAAATGAGAAAATTTCCTCCGTGAGTAAACGAGCACACTCTTGAGAGGAAATTGAGTTTTTCACGATTTATTGAAATCAATGTTTCTACATAATTGGACTATGCCGAGTATCCAGAAGGAAAGCAATATTAATTTTAACAATGACAGTTAACGCATTATATACCATTTGGACAGTACATTTCTGCAGAACCTGTAACAAGAATTGAACTTCAGCATCTGGGTCAATGACCCCCCATCTCGATCAGGTTTTCGTCCAGTTTCCCTGATCCTCCAGCAAATGCTGAGATGGCCCCTTGTTTTCTTCTGGACATAAATGTAACTTCAAATGAACCCCCCCCCCGCCGTAGCACGTCA